CAAAGGAAACGCTCATTAGAGCATTTCCGATTTTGGATTTTTAGATTTGGGATAATCAACCAGTAAGTACAATGCAAATATTCCAAAATCCCAAAAAATCTGAAATCTGAAACATTTCTGATCTGATGCATTTCGGTAAGGGATATCCTACCTGTAATAGAAATTGTTATAATTCTACAGAAAGGTCGAATGGCATAAAACCAGGTAGCACTGAATACAAACCTTAGATCTGCCACTTACTGGTTGTGCAAGTTCAGGAATGTTACTTAAGTTCTGTAAAATTCTGTTTCTCCATCTGCACAACTCAACAGAGAACTCGCAGCATGGGACTGAAGGATTACAGGTCAAAGGTTGCGCAAAATGCCCACCCGGTGTGGGGCACAGCGTATGTGCTCAGAAACATTATATTGCCAATATCTCCATGGTTACTATTGTCATCACTATTGTTAATTTTTCAAACCCACTTAGCTTACATTTTTTTTAAAAAAAAGTCCATATGGCTGTGTTTTTAACCAAAAGCTAATACTTTTGGCATTTGTGTGTGCAAGGGACTCACTATACAGTTCAGTCTCGTTTCATCTGCACAGTCGCAATGACGTGCTTTCCAGGCAAGCTCTTAAAGGATGCTGTTATCGCATCATGAAGCCTGTGGCAGGCTGCCCTTGGCTAATCCCTGTCCCTGGAATCCCATGTTTGATCCTCACGGCAGCCTTAGGAAATACGTGATATTATTGGCCCATTTCACAGGTGAGGAAATGGAGAGCATGAGGTGCAAGGAGGCAAAGGCTTTTCCTTGTTCTCTGTCCTAGCTTTAGACCGTACTGTGGTGCCCGTCCCATGGCAGGCACTCAGTAAACACTGCGACCAACTCAGTGGACGGACGAATGAATGGAGAAGTTCGCTGAGTCCTCCGAGATGGCCTTGAGTGGAGCAGCAGAGACTCCCAACCAGATAGCCTGGCTCTGGTCGTCCCTCCAGGCCTGTAGGACGCAGACGCAGTTCCTACCAGAGACAGCGGCCCTGGAAACCCATCTCTGCCTTAGAGCTTGTCCCCTTTCCCTCACTCTACCCCAGAGCTGGAATCCCACAGCTCCTGACTTCTCTGGGTTGCACTAGACAAACCCGGCCTCCCCCTCTGGTCTCAAACCTGCAAGGTGCCCCAGGAGGAGGTCAGAGGGACATCTCTCTCCCTCTCATCTCTCAGACCCTTCTTCCTCTTCTGGGACAAATCTCTTCCCTCAGAGCTGGGACCAAGGATGCCACTTGGGGGCTTAGCTCTGTCTGCATCCTCCCCTTGTGTGGCGATGGACAGGGGAGTTTGTGTTTCTGAGCTCCTCTTCCCTTTATTTGGAACACGAGAGAGTAGCACCTGTCTGCTGGCTGGTGGAAAAGCATCCAACCCACAGTTGATCTATATAAATTTTGCAGAGTGCATGGATGCACCAACCAGAGATCCACTGTTTCAAAAGGAAACTGAGTCACAGTGGGCTGTTGGGACTCGACCCTCACAGTGCCAGGATTGTACCAAAGACTGACATCTCCCACCCCTCCGGACCTTTGCCGAAGTCCCTCCTACCATCCACAAGCCCTGCCTCTGCCCCCTTCCCCCTCAGCATCTCTCCAAAGTGCCGTTTCTGAAACACATTCTTTGCTTAGTCACATCACAATGTCTCTGAGAAACACACAGGTCCAAATAGGTTCACACAAGTCTCTAAACTGGTCCTGCCTAAGCTCCAGTCTCCTCACATCCTACAACACCCCGAATATTCTCAATTCCAGCCACCAGAAAGTCCTGGTGACATGCCCAAAGCCTCTGCCCCGCCTGTCAGCTGCCCCCAGGCTGTGGGCTATTCTTTAGAGCCTCAGATCCCAGCCCTGCCACACGCACGGGCCCTGTGTGTCCCTCTGTCACGGCACTGACCACGCTGCACTGACGTCTTGTGGTTTCGCCTCGTTAAACTGGGACCCTCCTGAGGGTTGAGGTGGCTCTCACCCTCTCTGTCTTCCCAGTGCCTGCCCAGGCGAGGTTCTGACCCAGAGTAGACACTCAGTAGAGCTTTTTGTACACATGAAAGATTTATCACAGTGCCTCCAGAAAGAATGATGGGACTTGCATAAACTGACACGGTTATTATTGGAATTCATTTATTAAAAAAAAAAAAAACTTCATATATTTTATTATCCCAAACACTGCATTTGAAGACATTTTTTATGCCAAACCTGACAAATGGATCGCTTTCCCTGGATTTTTTTTTCTTTTAATTATTTGCATTCATTTTCTGTTTCAAAGACATTTTAACATTGGGCAACCAGATGATGGCTTAAACAGACATTATTAATGGGAATATTAGAAAAATTAAAATCAGAACTTTTAATGTAAGCTGAACGAAATGCTCAGCCACCCGGCCAGATGGAACGGCTGGTCGTTTGTTCCGAGAGCACAGGAGAAGGTGACGGACTTGAGCAGAGCGGAGTGGGGGGCAGACAGGAAGTGAAGTAGGAGGAAGGGCTCAAGTCCCAGAGCAGCCCCTGGGGACCCCTGTGACCTTGGGCCAATCTCCTGACCTTCCTACAGCTGAGTTTCTTCATCTAGATGCTGCAGAGGGGCTGAACGAGAGAAGCGATTTTTAATCTGCATCTGGGAGCTTCCAGCTCTGCGGAGAGAGCTGCGGAGCTACTAAGTTGTATGCAAGATTGGGGTGGATGTGCGTTTTTCTAAATAGAGTGCCCACAACTTTGATGAGATTTCCAGAGATCTGGACTCAAAGACATTTAGTAACCATTAAACTATGTAAGTAAATCATTTAGTAAACCATTAAACTAAACCGTTTCTTTTTTTAAAAAAAGTATTTATTTTTATTTATTTATTCTTTTGAGACAGATTCTTGCTCTGTTACCTGAGTTACAGTGCAGTGGCATCATCATAGCTCACTGCAACCTCAGACTCCTGGGCTCAAGCGATCCTCCTGCCTCAGCCTCCTGAGTAGCTGGGACTACAGGTGTGCACCACCACATCCAGCTATTTTTTTCTATTTTTAGTAGAGATGGGGTCTAATTTTTCTTTTTTTTCTTTTTTTTTTTTTTTTTTTTTTTAGTAGAGATGGGATCTTGCTCTTGCTCAGGCTGGTCTCAAACTCCTGAGCTCAAGTGATCCTCCCGTCTTGGCCTCCCAGAGTGCTAGGATTACAAGTGTGAGCCACTGCGCCCGGCCAAAACTAGGCAATTCCTAAGCTTTGTTTGTTTGTTCATTTATGTATTCGTTTATTCATTCATTCATTCATTCATGCTTTCAAGTGACAGATAACGATGAACACTGGCAGGCGCCAGGCATTCTTTCAGGCCTTGGAGATACAGCCGTGAGTAAGAAAAAGCTGTTGTGCTCATACTGCTGCCTGCTCGGACCATTCTGTTCCTGTGTGCTGAGGACCTCGTGCTGATTAATACCTGTGCTGACTTTGAAAGTCAAACGCCACTGTTCAGCTTTCTGGCTCTGATCAGGTACGTAGGATCCAGGCAGACCTGGACTGCTCCAAAAGGCTGGGGGAGCTGGGCCCCCAAGAACCCATTGAGGGAGGAAGACAAGCCGTCTGGGAGAGAGCTCATCCTAGGGAAGAGAGCAGTCTGCTGACAAGGCTGGGTGGGGCTCAGTGCTTCTGCGGGCAGCGGGCAAAGTGCCCAGCCAGTCCTAGGGCACCGAGGCACATGACGCCAGAGAGAGCCATTTCCACAGAGAGCACAGAGTAGCACATCCTCTTCTTTGGTCTCTCTGTGTCTGCAGCCCCCACAGCGGGGTGTCCGGCCCCACCACAGCTTCCAGGTGGTGGGGGGGAATAGGGAGGAGATGCATGGGATGCAATGCAGTAGGTACCCCCCAAAACAGAGGGGACACTTTGATAGGGACTGAGCTACCCTAATCCCAGGAACCAGCAGCGACAAATATGTTTGTGGTTTTTGGAACCCTGGGTGAGCTCCTATGAGCCCTGGTTCAGGATGACCTAGGAAACACAGGTCGCATCCACTCAGGGGCTCAGTCGCCAAGAAAGAGCTTAGAGGGGCCACTCTAACATGTCCTGCCTGCCCCGAGTGGGGGTTGGGCGGGCTTGGCCGGGATGTGGGTCAGGGTGCGGCATCTTCTCCCCAGGGACAGTCAGAGCATGCTGTGGTCCAGAAGGGGTCCCAGTCAAGAGGGCTGATGTCTGCCTTCCAGTCTAAGGGATGAGCCCAGCTGGGAATGGAAGACTCCATCACAGAGCCCCGGAATCCAGGGAGACCCCACACGAGCACCTGCCAGACAAAATATAGGGTTCCCAGTTAAGTGTGAAGTTCAGAGAAGCAAATGGATATATTATTAGGATAAGCATATCCCCAATATTACACGGGACATACTTACCCTAAAAAATTATTTCTTGTTTATTTGAAATTCAGATTGATTGGGCATTCTGTATTTTTATTTGCTGAATCTGGCAACTCCTCTAGAGTAAGAGTGTGGCTATATTTCTATAAAACTTTTTTTTAACACAGAAAACTGGTGTCAGGGCCGATTTGGTCTGCAGGCCACAGTGGGCTGACCCCTGATCTAAGAGCATGTGACACAATCCAAACCACATTGAGCAGGGAGTCCCTTCTTAGCCAGAATGGCTCGTGGCACACAGTAGGTGCCCAGCAAGGGGGCCGGTTATTAATTTACTGACAAAGGTTACATTTAAAAGATATGAAACAACCGCAGGAGTGTCCTGACTCCGTGAGACAAGCATGTGCCGGCGGCCAGGAAAGGTAAGGCCTGCTGGGTAAAGCTCACGTTCTGAAGCTCCACCCTCAGAATTTAGGTCTGGGTGTCAGCACCTCCTGGTTGTGTTTCCTTAAGACATTATTTAATCTCTGTAAGCCTCCGATTCCTCATTTGCAAACTGAAGTTAGAAATACTTATTTCATTGGGTTATGTAGGGTTTGACGGGCTGCATTACTTATATTAGTGTCAGACAGACCTGACTTTTCCTTCCCAGCTCTCAAAGATTCTTCCTCCCTCCTGCTCCTCCTCTCCCAGGTGAGCACACATTTCCCCGGAATGGAGAAAGACTCCGCTTCCTTTAACTGGCTCACAGTTTAAAGGCAAAGAATTCCTCAGTTCCTGCTGCCAGATCGCATTTGCTAAACAATCATTTTCCTAACTGGGATTCAGACAATGTAGGAAGAAACACTTGAAAACAGTTTTAATTGATGTTGAAAACGAGAAGGGGGGGAATCAGAGCATTATTAAATTTTGCTGCCATAATGACCATTGTAGAATTGGCTGGTTATTTCCCCATTAGAGCATAATGACATCTATTGTTGGCAGCTCTGTGTTTGATTATAAGATAATGACAATAATTCATTGTTTGCCACTCTTTACCTTAAGACAAGGTAACCACAAGTTTAAAGGAAGAAGTACAAGAGGTAAATTATATGTTGCTAAATATGAAACAGCACCTCACTTGTCCTGGTTTATAACAATAAAAACAACAATTTCAGATAGAACATATATTTAGTAGGTTTTCCCCCTAGGAGAGACAGAGACATTGATCATCGCATAATTACTACAAAGGAAAATCCTGCTAAATTGTTAGGTTTAGATACGGTACAAAACCATCTTCTTAAACTCCAGAAAGAAAAGGGAGTTTTTCGAACCTTTTGCTTGCTGTTTGAATGAAATCATTTCTAATCACAGGGCTGGAAGCCACCCTAAAGATCCATCCAGGCTGGGGGTTTTCAAGCACCTTTTAAAAACGGAGCACCTATTTGCAAACACAGTCATTCATGGATCAGCCGCGTGAGAAACAAATCCAGTTCTCAAACTCATCTCTCTTCCGCCAGGTGTCCTGCCGGCTCCAACTGCAGGAGGAGTTGGAATCACCTCCTGCCCTCCGAGGCTGAGTCCCTTTTGCACCAGTGCACAGGGTCGTGGGCTTGGCTCCCCGGTCTCTTCCCCACCAGCAGGCAAGTGAATCTTGTGACCCTCAGTTCAGATCTGTGACTCCTCTGGAAGACAATTTAACAGTTTCTTACAAAGCTGGACATAGTCTTACCATAGGATCCAGGAATCCCACTCCTAAGTATTCACCAAATGAACTGAAAATCTTAACTGTCCACATGAAAACCTGCACATGAATGCTTATAGCAGCTTTACTCTTCATCACCCCAAACTGGAAGCAGCCAAGATGTCCTTCAGCAAGTGAATGGATCCACCAATATGGTGCGTCCAGACAGTGGAAAACATTGAGGAAGCAAAAGAAACGAGCTCTCGAGCCAGGAAGAGACATGGAAGAAATGTAAATGCATGATACTAAGTGGAGGAAGCTGAAAGGCTATACACCAAAGGCTCCCAACTATATAACGTTCTGGAAAAAGCAAAGGTAGAGACAGTGAAAAGGTCAGTGGTTGGTGGGGTTTTGAGGGGGAAGGCAGAGGGGTTAATAAGTGAAACCTGGATTTTCAGGGCAGTGAAACTCTTCTGTATGATGCTGTAATGGTGGACACATGACATTATCCACTTGTCAAAACGGACAGAATGTACAACACCAAGAGCGAACCCCAATTCGACTACGGACTTTAGTTACTGTTAACAGTAATGTGTCAATATTGGTTCATCAGTTGTAGAAAATGTACCACATTAAGGCAAAATGTTAATATACACAGAAATTTTGGGGAGGGGAGAGAAGGGTATGTGGGAACTGTCTGTACTATCTGCTTAATTTTTCTGTAAACCTCAAACTGCTCTAAAAATGAAATCTATTAATTAAAAAAAACTCTGGTTGGGCATCTCCCTCAGATAAAAACCCACGTCCTTACCGTGGTCTCAAACCTTCCACGCTCTGGCTGAGCCATTTCCATGCTTATTTGTTCTGCTCCATCGCACTTGCCTCCCCGGCTCTCTGCCACTCCTCCTCCCTGCCTTGCCCTCAGCCTGCAGTGCACACCCCCCAGAAAAGGCCTGTCTTGCTCCCCACTCACTCAGGTCTCTGCCCGAATGCCACTCAGGCCATCCGACCGGGAGGGTGGCTCTCTGTCCCTCCTACTGTCTCTTCTCACCAGCTTTTGTTTTCTTCTTAGATGTTGTTCTGTGTTTTTCTGCTTATCTTCTGTCTCTCCCACTGCAAGTCCCCGGCTGCCTCCCCCACACCTGGCTGGGTGTCCGGCTCACAGCAAGCACTCAGTGAGCATGTGCTGAATGATGAAGGCGGAGCCGCTCCTGCCGTCCCTTCCTAGGAGGCTCCATGCTGCCTGGAACCTCCTGGGGATGTAGTTTTGGGATGTAGCCCCAAACCCTTGATCTTACACCATTTTTGATAGGGTGTGGGCTCTGTAGGACCCATGTCACCAGATGGGGCATCTTGCTTGGCACTCTCCAACTTGGGACTTTGAGGGGAAATTCCAGAGGCTACTCCAGGGCTGTGTCTTGCAAATGATCTTAATCCAAGCTTGCAACAGAAGCTTTCCTAGGTTTAAGCACACACACACACACACACACACACACACACACACACACACACACACACAGAAACCTTAAGTTTGCCGATGGTGTTCAAAGTCTCACTATATGCTGCATGTGGTTGCCAAGTGAGGACCTGCAAACGATGCGATCTATGCAGATGAAGGCTGAGGTTCTTCCGGGCCGGGGCCAGGGCTATGGGGCCTCCTGTGCTGCCTTCTCCAGCAGGAGATTCCTTCACTGACTGTGCCTAGTGGAAAATTCTCTCCATGTCTGGAAGACACCATTTTCCCAGGCCACCTACAGGGAACATTCTGGGTCTGCTCCGTCTTCCTCTTTGGCAGTGCATAGTACCAGAAGGTGTGGTCTGGAGCCAGAGTGTCTGAGTCAGCATCCCAGCTCCACACCTCATTATACATGTGGCCTTGGGCAAGTTACTCCATCTCCTGTGCCTCAGTTTCTTCATCTGTAAAATGGGGGGAGAAGGATAGCCCAGATGAAGTGATTTAGTACTTATCAAGTGGTCAGGACAGTGGTGGGTGCAAACTGGCAATGATGAGTGTCAGCAGTATCAGTCACGTGTTGAAAGTCCCCATCCCCATTAAATGTCAGCTGATCTTATCTCTTCCTCAAGACCTGCACATACACATCTCAGCGGGTTCTCAGCCTGTCCTCGGCAGCAGTCCAGTGGCTGTCCCTACAGCACTCCACATTACATCTAGGCTGAAGAAACTGAGGGTGAAGGTTGCAACGTGGGAGGGTCCAGGTCGTAGAGCAAGTCAGCATCCTTCAAGGGATAAAAAGCCACTGAGCTCTGGAGGAGATGCTGGCATCTACTTCCTCCCTGAAAACATCTCAGTGAACTCACAGGAACACCACCCAGCCCTGCAGTCACAGTGCTGCTTCCTCACTGTTCTGCAGGTTGTTGATTCCTTTGAGACTTAAGGTGGGTGGCCATGAAACCCCACCTCTCAGAGCTCCAGCGCAAGCTCCAGCCAAGGGCCCCACCAATTTAATCAGTCTATCAATCACCAATTTAATACTCAGGCCACGCATCCCAGTGGCTGCTCCCAGCCAAGGACTGAACAGTGAGGGACCCTTCCTGGAAAACCCAGGACTGTTCTGCCCAGCAATTTTGCCCGCAGACTGTTCAAGGTCCTGCTGAATTTCCTTAAACAGCACTGCAGACTAAGACACTACTGCCTAACCTTTCCTTCCCTTTCTCCTTCACACTGGTCAGACCTACATCACAGCCTGGTGGCTCTCCCAGGCTCTCCTGGGTCCCTCTCCACACCACCCCCCCACCAGGCGTTTCCTGTAATAAATCTGTTGCATGTCGAATCCTGTCTGGGCATCTGCATCCCAAAAGACTTGGAGTGACATCCATGAGATACAACCTCGTTCCAGTAAGGTGCGCCTGTACACAGTCAACCTGAACTCACGGGCTTTCAAACATCCAAACTACATCCTCCATACATCTTCATTTAAAAATACCTGTATTCATTCAAAGCATGTAGCAGAAGGAATTATCTGCGTCGACCGAAAAGGCCAGTTTGCTTATTCAGTCAACAAACGTTTGCTAGTTGTCTGTTTTCTGCTCAGTGCAGTGGCAGGAAGAAAAGCACACAGCTGCTGCTGTTGAAAAGCCCCCATGCAGGTGGGGAAAACAGGAGACAGAGAGATAAAGCGATGCGAATAATTTTGTTGCAGCACAGTAGGACAAGGGTGGAGAAGAAAGACCTCGAGTCAGATCTTGAAGCAGAAGTAGTTTGCAAGGGAAGAGAGGAGAATGTGCCTCCTTGCGTGGGGAACAGCATCAGTTTCTCGAGCCCAGGTCTACAAAAGTACACGGCTTGAGGCTGATGCAGCTTGGCACAGCAGTGAGGCTGCCTGGTTCTGAATTCTGTGTCCACTACTCACTAGCTGTGTGGACTTGCACATGCCTCTAAGCCCTCATGCTGGATCACTGCCCTGGACAAATAGTGGGTAGCAATGCCTCATGGTGCTGTTGGGAAGATTGAAATAGTTGGGAAGTGCAAAGCTACTTAGAAAGGTAAATAGGATGCACTGTTAGACATTATCCATCATTCCAGCCAGCGTGTCAGAAGTGTCAGGCAATGAGGTTTGAAAGGTGATCGGATTTCACTTAACACTGTGGGTATTTTCTCCGTAGACAGTGACTCTGCAGTTTCTGGACCTTATGCGCTTACTAAGAGTTGGGCAGGCATCATCTTTGAATTTCATACCCAAAGCACAGGAGGCACCAAAATACTCCAAGTCTGTCTTAGGAAAGGGCATAAACATAGAAATCAGCCTCCCAGAGGAATCTCAGAACCATCTGGCTCTCCCTCCCACCCGAAGCAGGAAAGCCCTTCGCAGCATCCCAGAGCGACGGCCCTCCGGCTCCTGCCAGCACACTCCCAGGAGCGAGGTCCTCGCTCCCGCACGCGGCAGCGCGCTCGGGTGCACCCGACTGCTAGAAAGTTTGTCCCGACATTGAGCTGAGTCTGTCCCCCTGGAACTTCTACCGCTGCTCCTGGTTTTCCATCTGGAATTCCGGAGAACATGTCAGCTCTCTC